TTACAGAATAACTTCCCACTAGTGTAGTCTTTTTGCTAGATCCCATGCAGAATTTCTATTCCACTTGATTTGGAATTGTTCTGCCTATCAGGATCAAAATTACTCTTGTGCATTTATTAATGATGCTTTTGCATTTGTTTACTTGTTCTTCAAACTCCTCTATGTGGGTGATCTCATGTTTAAAAAAGGTTTTGAGACCAATAGTTGAGATTTCTCCTCCTGGAGTTATGTAGCTGTGAATCAGAAATTATTGTTTTATTCTCAGCTGTGTGTTCTATATCTAATTTGGGAAAGATCAGCAATTTGGGAAAGATCATCATTAGGAATCATTTCCTTTATTTGGAAAGGCATACCAGAGATTGTGTGGGCTATGGCTGTACAATAGGGGGAGGACTTCATAGAAAATATAGTGTTTAGAGGCAGAGGACCTTGGGTAATATTTGGGACATTTCTGTCTGTATTCTGAATCTAGGGTAACTTTAAGTTGACCTTGAAGTCATGCATTTAATGCCAACCATCATGATATTATGTATGCTATCCAACACTGGCAAACTCATGACAGAGCAAGTTGTGATATTTGCAATGGCTTCCCAATAACAAAGGAGAACTTTTGCTGAGTATAAAAAGCTCCCTTGCATTTATTCTATTTGATGATGTTAGAGTAGCAATGGCAAACTTCATGCAAATCATTCTTTTAAACTAACTCTTGCTTTTGTTTTGAATGTTTGAATGCATTTTATCTGACCTTTGTGAGACCTGTTTGACAGAGAGTCCTGATGCAATCCTCTAAATAGGAACATCTAATTTAGTCTTATCTTTTATAGAGCATGTTTATTTATGTATTTTATAGAACTTCTGAGTTTTAAGCTGGAATTTCCTGCATGCTTAGATCAAAATTACATGTTTGCTGTGGCTTGTTAGGGAGTGCAGGGCTTATCTCAGTGTAAATGCATCTAGGATGGCATTCTTTGCACTCTTTAGGCAGTGAGTATAGCTATGTTGAACATTCAGTTGATAGGAACATGATAATTTGCACAGTTAATAAATTCTTGCCATAAACAGTACCAGTAAAACCTTAAGAACATTAAAGGGTACAGGTAAAGGTTTCCCCTTGACATTAAATCCAGTCATGCCTGACTCTAGGGGGCAATGCTCATCTTCGTTTCCTAGCCGAGGGAGCCAGCGTTTGTCCACAGACAGTCTCTGTGGTCATGAGGCCAGCATGACTAAACACCAAAGTGCATGGAACACTGTTACCTGCCCACCGAAGTGGTACCTTTCTATCTACTTGCATTTGCATACTTTCGAACTGCAATGTTGGCAGGAGCTGGGACGGAGCAACTGTAACTCACCCCATTGTGCAGATTCGAAGTGGCAACCTTTCGATCTACCAGCACAGCAGTTTAAACCACTGCACCACCTGCAGTCCCCTTTAAGAACATTACAAAAGAGCAAAAGAAAAACCAGGCTGAGTCAGGCCAATGGCCCATCCAGTCCAGCACTCCATTCACTTGGTGACAAAGCAGCTGCCCACAGATTGGGTTCAAGACAAGACATGTCTTTGGTTCAAGGTTGGGTACAAGACATGTTGTTCCTAGTACTGATTCATTCTGATATTATGATCTGAAAAAGCCAATGGTTTCTCTTGTCTTTCCCTTCAATCTGACCAAATAATGTACAGCAAGATATTTGGCAGATTGTATTGAACTGAAGTGCCACACATTCCATAGCTGAGGAAAATTACTTATGATGTGATGGGTTTCTCTAATGCAGTATCCTGACTCAGAACTACCAACACATCCTGGCCTTGATGTTTGCTGTAAAGGAAGTCAATGAAGATGTCCTTATCTTACAGAACATCACTCTGGGCTTCCACATCTATAATAACTATTTCCTTCCAAAATGGACCTGTCATGCCTCAATGGCCCTTCTCTCCACACGTAACAGCTTCATTCCAAACTACAAATGTGATAATAACACTGTGGTTGCAGTCCTTGGGGGACCGAAGTCTTTCCTCTGTCTTCATATGGCAACCATTCTCAGCTTCTATAAGATTCCACAGGTAAGGAGTATAAAGAGTTTAAGGAACCAGAGATGGTGTGTAAGAGAATCGTACATTGCATTCTACTTGAGGCTCAAATACAGATCAAGGTAGAAGCCATACTAGTTCCTATTAATACATGAACATAGCTAATGTGGATGTCTGTTAATTGTACTCTTACACACATATTCAATTCATTTGCGTTTGTTCAAGTAAATGCATCCTACATATCACTGTGATTGATATTATAGATAGGAATAGTTGTTGGATTGCTCTGTACCTGGGAATACTCCATGAACATCACTTTCAATCTAGGCTGTTAGATCAGAGTAAGTCACTGGAAGACTAACCATAGATGGATAGGTGGAACTGCAGATCAACGTAGGAGTCCAGTGGGCCTGTATTCATTGTTCAAGGATGACAAAAAGTAAGCTGTCAGTGTGTGTGAAAATGTACAACTGCACATTCTCCTTCTCCTGAGGAGATATTTTCGAAGACTGTGCACTTGGAATGATATCCCATATATGATATCCCATTGCTGAATAGACAATGACTTGAGAAACTCATTCCATGAAGAAATCATTTGCATTAATGACTGAATTTCAGCAGATATTAGGAAACAAGGATAAACAATCTGAAATTGGGCTTATTTGCATAAATTCAAGAATTGCAGATTGCTGAAAAATCTTCACCTACCTGGAGAATAGTGTAAGTGTGAGTGAGTGAGTGAGTGAGTGTGTGTGAGAGAGAGAGAGAGAGAGAGAGCGAGAGAGAGCGAGAGAGAGCGAGAGAGAGCGAGAGAGAGCGAGAGAGAGCGAGAGCGAGAGCGAGAGCGAGAGCGAGAGAGAGAGAGAGAGAGAGAGAGATGTAATTTATGTCAGTGGTCACATCAGCATTTTCCTCCTCATTTTCTTCAGATCATCTATGGCTCCTCTCCTGTGGCAAATGACAACATTCAAGATACTTCCTTGTACCGTGTGTTCCCAAAGATATACCTTCAGTACACAGGGATTCTCCAGTTGCTCTTGCATTTCAAATGGATATGGATTGGACTGATTTTTACTAATGATGACAATGGAGAAAGATTGATACAGGAAATAGTACCTATGTTTGCCCAAAAAGGTATTTGCTTTGCCTTCACAGAAAGATTACCAAGAATATCCTTTTCCAATGAGATTTCTCAAACTGCCACGAAGGGTTTCAAAATGGTAGAGGTTATGATGAGAAGCAATGCTACTGCATTTGTTCTAAGTGGTGAAATTTATTCTATGATATTCCTGAGAATGTTGCCCCAGCTAATAGAAATTGAAGATACATTCAAGTTAATGGGTAAAGTCTTTATTATGACAGCTCAGATGGATTTTACATCACTTCCTTTTCAAAGAGACTGGAGCATTGACTTCCTCCATGGTGCTCTATCCTTTGCCATTCACTCAAGGGATGTCTTCGGCTTTGAACAATTCATTGGGATGAGAAACCCAACTTTGGAGAAGGAGGATGGTTTCCTCAGGCTCTTCTGGGAAAATACATTTCAATGCTTCTTCCCTGAGAATGCAGTGGGGCAGGAGGCTGTGGAGACCTGCACTGGGGAGGAAAAGCTGGGGACAGTTCCCGCTTCTGTTTTTGGAATGAGCATGAGTGGCCACAGCTACAGCATCTACAATGCCGTCCATTCAGTGGCACGTGTTTTGCAGGCCTTGCAGGCCTCCACATTGAAGCACAGGTCCATGGAAGATGATGGGAGAGGGAAGCTCTTGAACCAAGAGCCATGGCAGGTACCACTCTGAACAAAGCAATGTGGGAGGCTCTTCATCTCTGAGAGCAAAAGAAGAATTTCCAGGAAAGTTTCCCTCATCAAAAGCATCCTAATCTTGGAGTTTTGCTTCTTTGTATCCATGGCTTAAGTTGGCATTAGTTGGGTATACAACTGAATATACGTAACTAATGGGGACCAGATGATTAGTGGGGACCAGATGATTAAGGGGGAAAAATCTGCTATAATCAGCTGTGTAAGATTTCTTCTGGATATAGGAAGGGTTCCCTTACCTCTCTGTTTCTCTCACCCTTCATAGGATGTGCATGATGCTTTGATTTTACACATTGAAGTAGGATTCACAACATCAGACCTAAAAGGACACTCACTTCATGAGGGATAAGTGTCCCCTTTTAGCTTTGTGTGGCCCCTGGCAGCTATTTTGGAAGCTGCTCTGGTGTGTGAGTGGGGCCACAAGTCATTCAGGACTGTTACTACTTTTATTTTACAGCTGGATGATTAAGCATGCCCTGTAGTCAACTCAGGTGTGGGAACCAATTTGCTATCACTTACAGAACCTTTCTTTCAGATGGTCAGTACTCTTTATTTGGCATACCCCCTTGCTCCAGTCTGCATTCCTTCAAAGTTTCCCTAGTTTTCCTGGATTTCCCCCCATTCTGATGCTACAATACACTGATGTTTCTCATAGTTTGGCTCTAATGCTATCCTCCAGCATGCACCACAACAAAAATTCAACTTACCTAAAATTATTTGCTACTAAATTCCTGCTTTAGAAAGAAAGGGGTTTCCTCCTGCCTTGATTAAGCAATGGATATGTGATATGGATACTAGAATCTCTTTCTGCTTATCCTTCTGAATTCTTATCTTCCCACACCATTCAGCTGCACCATTTTCT